TTTCCTACTTCGATCCCTAGAGTAATCCTATTGCAGACTCCATCTCTATATCACTCCTGGATAATATCGGAATCCTATAACACCCGAATCCTCCTGAGCTCTCCATTCTGCAGTGACCGGACCTCCTGTATCCTCGTCCCGTGCAGCAACAATAATCACAGCCCTACATCCCGTATTTCCACTTCGATTGAACCAAACCCCCGAGCGGGAATCTAGGAATCCAGACACACACACACACACACACACAAAAAAAAAAAAAAAAAAAAAAAAAAAAAAACCTAAATATATACCATATATATCTGTCCACTTCCATGGCCGTACAGCGTGGGATCCCGCCGACTTAGCACGCACTACTAGCCGTGGTTAATCCGGATACTTCGGATATTGTTCTCCAGTTATCAAGTGTCTCTTCCCCCACCTTCCCTGGCTGTTTGTGCCACCTTGTTATACCACTTGGCTTCACGCGTGGGTGCTCGCGATACACTACGCTGGCTACACGGAATCTTTCGCCATGGCTTCCATAATCCCACAACCCTCGCGCCCTTCAACAAACCCTCCCACCGCAGCTCTTCCCCCGTTACCTGGCCCAAAGTCAAGGAAAGATCCGCCTGTGATTTCAGACACCCCAAAGGTTTCCTCATCTTCTTTGAAACTCCCCAAACTTCGCACACCATCTGCCTCACCACGGCCCTCCGCATTGGCTATGCCTCAATCATCCAATCCTTCAACTGGTATCTTGGTTCCCAAATCTCTAGTAGTTGGCGCCCCTGGTAGTCCTGATAAAACCCTGCGCCGTACAGTCAGCATTGCAGCCTTCCCCCAACCTCCTAAAGTAGCAAATCAACTGGCGTCGAAGCCTCAATCTCCTGACTCCACGAAACCAGTAATCCCGTCGAGTAGTATACGGATTAAGACAAAATCTGCCAATGGTTCCGGAAATACATTTAAAGGACCCAGCTCATCCAGAACACCTAGCCTTTTGAATAGCAGCGGGGATGGCAAGTCCATTCCCAATGGTCCAAGTGCTAGAAACTCTGAGGGCCATTTCAGTATCCCCTCTCCACCGCAAAGCAGAAGTTCATCAGCCCAGGGTTCCTATTCTACCAGTGCCACTACCTTCGATGAAACTGAGGAAGGCGGACGAAGGGGTCGAGAGGATTTTGATAGCACATCCGGTAATGGAAAACGTGGTTCCAAGGGGAAAGAATCGAAAGGAAATGTTATAGTTAGCGTCAGAGTTCGACCTGACGTTGGGAACGCAGAGAATTCCAAGTCAGATGAAGAATGGATGGTCGATGGTCGAAGGTCGCTTGTGTCCCACCGTGGGAAGGAATCAGGAGATTATTATTATGGTATTTCTAGTTCCCCCCAAAGATAGAAAAACAGGAGGAATGAAAGAGACATGCGCTCTGATAGCCCAGATCCACAGTGCTAACGGTTTAACATTACAGATAATGTATTTACAGCTCACGATAACAATGCTAGAGTATACGATTCATGCGCGAAACGCCTTGTTCGCCGGGTTATGGAAGGTTATCACGGCACCGTTTTTGCATACGGAATGACTGGAACTGGCAAAACATTTTCCATGCAGGGTACCGCTACATCTCCCGGTGTTATCCCTTTGGCTATTACAGATATATTTTCCTACATTAGAGAAACTCCTCACCGCGAATTCTTACTCCGCGTAAGCTATCTGGAAATCTACAACGAGAAAATCCACGATCTCCTGTCACCACCAGCTTCTGGGACTGGCCCAGGTGCTGTGCAGCAGGAAGAGATCAAACTGCGAGAGGACAGTAAACGAGGTGTATACGCCTCGCCATTGAAGGAAGAAATTGTGCAAAGCCCAACGCAGTTATTACGAGTTATTGCAAGGGGTGACCATGCTCGAAGGACTGGAAGCACGCAGTTCAACGCTCGCAGTTCCCGGAGTCATGCTGTTGTTCAAATTGTGGTAGAAAGCAGAGAGCGAATCCCTGCTGGAAGTTCTGTGCAGGAAAAACGCTCTGCCATCGTTCCTGGTGGCGTGCGTGTCTCAACATTGAGTTTGATTGATCTTGCGGGATCTGAACGTGCTGCAGAAAGCAAAGAACGGAGAACAGAAGGTGCCCATATAAACAAGAGCTTACTCACTTTGGGAACGGTGATTGCCCGGCTTTCTGGAGATAAGGATAAAAATGGCAACCCCACCGATCGGGACGGGAAGCATTTGCCATACCGCGATAGCAAATTAACACGGTTGCTGCAACCTGCGCTGTCAGGGAATTCCCTTGTCAGTATCCTTTGCACTCTTCAGATCGGATCGAGTGGAAGCGCTGCAACTGCCAATACTCATACAGGAGAGACATTGAATACACTGAAGTTTGCAGCCAGAGCGAAGAATAACATTGTCAGCCATGCTAAACGGGCTGAAGAAGCCATGAGTGGCGGTGCCGGGGATGCTGGAAGCCGAGTTCTTTTAGAACGCTACCGCATGGAAATTCAGACACTCAGATCTCAGCTTGAAGGACAAGCAAGAGCTCATAGTGAGAGGGAAGAGAGGCTCGAGGAAAAGGCTTTTGAAAGAGAGGCGGAAATTCGACATGAAGAACAAATGTTGGAAATGCAGCTCGCACGGACAGCGCTCAAGGAAAGAATCGAGCATTTGAACCGTTTAATCTTATGTTCCAAGTCCACTGGCGTTAATGCTAATGGAACCATATCTGCGCTGGGAAGGATCTCGGGAATCTCTGCAGGTGGCTTTGAGCCTGGAACCAGGTCAATTCGATCTTCAGCATCTCAATCGACGTTGGGAGCAAATGGGACTGTTTTAAATAGATCTGCCTCCATGGTTTCAATGCGAAGTTCAGGGCCTTCGACTACTCCCCAAACACCAGCTGCTCAATTTGGCAATAATGAATATGAGGACGATACGATGGGCGAGTTTGCCGATGGAATGGCAAGCCTCCAGATGCAGGTTAATGCCCTTCAGGCGGATCTCTCCGATAAAACTCGATACATCTCAACCCTCGAGCGGCGACTACTACAAGCCCGCCGATCAAGCCACTCACGTATGTCGATGGGATTTTCTCATTTGAAAGGTGCTGTGGGATCCGCAGATGAGCCGGAGGTTATGGCGCTGCTTCACGAAAAGGATATGGAAATATCCGAACTGCGAATACAACTTGACGACAAGGATCGAATGGTTGCAGCTTTGCGTTCCGCGGCCCGCCAGCGTGACGTCGCCCAATTGTCGCCCGACTCGATTTCTTCAGAGATAAAACAGAAATCGGGCCATAATAGCGTCGATAGCAATGGCAGCTCAGCAAATAGTGCCGGCGTTGCTATTGGGACTGTAAGCCCCGTTGCGCTCCTGTCTCCTGTGAGAACAGCCGAGATGGAACAAGAGAACAAGAAGGAGAAAGAGAAAGAGAAGAAACGTAGAAGCGTTGACGAGATGTCCCGAATGCTTGACGAAATGATCCAGGACAGGGTGGAGAGCGGACATCTGGTCAAGGGGACCAGAGGGAGCATGCGTGTTGTTGATGCGGCCCGGCGACAGTCGTCTTCTGGTTCGAATACCGTTCCTCCAATGAGCGCAATGGTAACAGCTCTTCGAGGCTCTTTCACAGATGTCCAATCTGCGTAAACGGATTGTCCTTCTCTCTCTTCTTTGGCCCTTTCTTGCAGAACCGCATCCTTGTTCATTACCTGACCATCTTCCCCATCTTGACGTCGGAGACGAGATATTTGATTTTTATTTCTTTCTTGTTCTTTCCCATTTGGCACCATTACCCCCCAAAACTCTTATGGACTTTGATTTTTTTTTGTACATTTTGTTGTAGATGCACTTTTCGCTTTTGCGCTCTCATTTCCCCCCCCCCCCCCCCAATCTTTGTACAGTAAATGCTCTTTCTTTCCTGATACCCATTATTTCTCAATCTGGCCTTCATTTCATTCACCTCGCTCTCTAATTTCACTCCTACACATCAACTTTTTGTCGTTTTGTGCTGGCCATTTCTATTTCCATTCTCATTCTTAAATTTTTATCCTTCATTTCATATTCCTCAAGGTCGGTTGGTTATTCTATCGACATAATTTACAAGGATCGTCATTTCTTTTCATTTTTATTGCTTAATGCACCTTTTTATACTACTTCCAGTTATGCCCATCTTGCCTAAGCCGTATATTTTGTCCTCTTTTCGAATCTGGCATGTTTGTCTTGACTTTATCTCACCTAACTATCCTAAATAATGCAGAAACGGGAAATGAAAGGAGAAAGGAAAAAAGAAAAGTGGCGAGATGTGTTTCATTATATTTTACTACGTTATCTTTGTCCTTTGTCCTTTGTCCTGCATTTTTCATTTTTCGCTCTGATATGATGGGTTCTGGCGGAATGATTTCTGAGGATGTGACATTACTCTGCGTCATGCCCGTCGTACATGTATTATTATATATCACACCGAGTTTCTTTAATGCCTTTTATGTTCTCTCTAATGCAGAATTTATTTAGATCGTCATCTTTCTACAATATAGAGCTATGTAGAAGAAGCGGATAATAAATGAGATGGTAATTGGATTTGTTCTTTTGAAGTTGTCCAATCTTTTGAAGGCATCGTCGATTCTGGAGATGTTTCTTTTCGTTCCTCTGCTCATTCTACCATATTTATCTCCAGCCTTTTCTAGAATATTTGTGACTCAGGTCTGATACCTGCCGATTTCACTGTAGCAACAACAATCGAATGAGAGGAACTTGTAGATGACGTCTGGTTTCCAGGCTGGATGTCCTGCATGGAGATTACGATTTGCTCCAAGGCTGATCTCCAGTCATTGGCGACCTGAAATGTGCCAGGCTGAAACCGGATAGACAGGGGATCCTTCAGGAATTGCTGCATGTGCATCGCCGCATCAAGCATATGAACCTGAGTAGTTTTTTAATTGGGATCGATAAATACACCCGCTACCTGGCTAAATACACTCCTCAAAAAATACACCATCTCAAAACAAACATAGCGTATACACAGCTGTATACTCAAAATAACTAGTGTTCCAATGTAGTCGATATGTGCTCAGCTCCTCAATTCATTAGTTACTATTAAATTAATCTGAAATAGTTATCTACAAAATCATCCTCCTCATATTCCACTCTGCGAATGGCAGCTTTGCAGAATCAGAATATTATTCAATAAATCAACTCTTGCGTTCTGCTCTTTCCCTAAGATATCAATAAATATATTATTATTATTATTATTATTATTATTATTATTATTATTCATTTGAGGTGTATGCAGTCAATGACTATAACACCTACTTAGTTATGCTAGGATTTGATTATTTTAAAAATCTGATATATATAATTTAGAACATGTAGTTATATAGATTCATCTCAGAATAATAAAATATTTAAACAAATATACTATAGAAATTATAATTATATATATTTATTTCAATAAAAATTAATTGATAAAGAAAATTAGTATAATAGAAAAAATTGATTATGATAAAAAAAATTCTAGAAAAAAAAACTCAATAATCTTGATATTAAACAATAAACTCTCAATAAAAAAAGTAATAATATCAAAGAAAAAGTATATTTAATAATAAATAAATGATAAAAAGAGTAATAATAATAAAAGTATTTAAAATAAAATAACTTAAATTTTAATATTTAATAATGATATAAATTGAATAAAAATTTCATTTGATTTTAAAATTTATTCTTTAAAAGCAGTTTTTATTTCTTCTATGTAGTTTATCAAAATCTTTATTTTCAGTTAAGCTTTAAAAAAAAAAATATATTTGACTAATTGATAAAGTATTTTTTTATTAGTTTTTTTTGACATCATTACACAATGAATAGTTCATTAAAATATGATTTGAATTTTCAACTAAATTATAGAAATCACATTTGTCTAAGTTTATGAAATTTTTAATTTTCTTAAATAGAATTTAAAATAACTATATCTAAGTTTTAATTATATTTATTATAGAGGAAATTTTTTTTTTTTTTTGCACTTTATTAAAAAAAACTTCTATTTTGATTTTACTTCATATTTTTTATATTGATTTTTTTTTCTTTTCAAACTTTAGTCTATTTATTAAAATATAATTCTCTAATTTTTTTTTAAATATAAGTTTAGAAGATAATATTTTATGTTTTCTTTTGAATTTCAGTGCTATTTTTTGCTACTAAATCTACTTTCTCATATTTTAAAATATTTATATAAGCTGATATTTAAGATAAATAAATTTGAATATTTTATATTTTGTTTAATTTTTTTTAAATATTTTTTAAATTAAATTAAGATTTATTTGATCATAAATTTTATATTTTTAAGTCTTTTAACTACTATTTGATTATCTAAAAAAAAAATTCATATATATTTTATGATAGATTCTTTAAGAACAAGTCTATAGACTAATATAAATGCTTTTTGAATTGCAAATAACTCAGTATTAAAAATCTCACATTTCTTCTCAAGATTTCAAAAATGTAATTTATTTTTTGAGTATATTATAAAATATATCAAAGCTAGCCTTGCTTCTCAGATTGTAGTGATGCTGGCTATGACATTGACTACTGTCTTATGACAATATATGACTACTGATCTGAAAAAGTAATAGTAACTGTCTAGCAATCATCTAGCAACTGCTTGAAGGGAACCACTTAGCAAAAGCCTAGCAACCATCTCGCAAACAACTTCTGTCACGGCTTCAGCTAGGCGCAGGTGAACTGGTGTTCGATTGCCAACTAGGTAAGCTATCTGAGCGAATACTAAGATGATTTCTAAAAGATGGGTTCGGGGAAGGCTCTGTTTATATAGCCCTTTTTCTCTAGCGCCGTTGCCATGTGATTGCCACGTTTATGTGTTATTCATACACGGGGTAATTGTGGGGTTGTTTGCCGTTGCCTAGGCAATTGTTGTTTACCGATCACCTTGGCCCGTATGATGGCCGATCGCCTTGGCCTGTGGCGATTACGCTGTTGAGAAGGTTGGACATAAGCCTGTTCTACGCCATCACAACTGTAAACAAATACCTTACAAAAACTGTCTAGCAATGGCATAGCAACTGCTAGTGGAAAGAGATATATAAGAAGAGATTTCCTCAGACCCCTGTTCCTCAAATCATTTTAGTATTTCATTGAAATAGCTTTTCTAGTTGACAATTAAACATTTGTTTATCTGCGCCTAGATTGAAGTCATAACACAAATATTTTTTTTTCACTTTTTGATTTATATAAATATAATATTAAAGAACTTTTCTTATTAATTTTTTGTAGTTTTAGATATATATATATATTTTTCTCTTTATTAGAGAGTTCACTTATAGAAATATTATTAATAAATTTAGATTTTTATTCAAAGATAAAGCTTATTGTGATATGTATTTCCTATATTTAAGCTTAATAATTGATTTTTAATTGTTGTATATATTCTATAGAGTTAAAAAGATATAAATTTTTTAAAATTCTCAAAGTGTTCATTTCAATTTAGAATTTATCTTTATTCAAATTTTTATTAGATATATTTGATAAGTATGAGGTAAATGCTTATTTGAATTGAGTGATTTACATATATTTTTATAAATCTTAAAGTATAATTTATGCAGATTTTATTAAAGTGAATAGTTGATGATGAAATTGAAATTTTTATTTTATTGCTCTAATAGAAGATGTTTTCAATGTACTCAATATTTTTTATAAAGTTTTATTTTGAAGATTTTAAAAATAGTTCATATAGTTTTTTTAATTTTTTCATTAGATCTTAATTTAAAATAAGAAACAGAAGCTGTACAAAGAAGCTGTATAAAATATATATAATAACTTTATAACTTGAAAAGATATTTAAACTCTCTTTCAGTATTTGAGAGATTAATTATATTATTTAAGTTCTTTCAGCCTGAACTAATCTTTTATAAATGTGAACTTTAAATTTAAGCTTTGAATTTAATCAAATCTCTTTCATCTCACTGAGTTTTTGAGTCTTATAACTTTATCTTGAACAGTAATAATTCTATTTTCTTTACTTATTTAAAATAGAAGTAAATGAGTTTGATTTTATTCACATCAAATAAAGTTATTTTTTTTTAAATTTTTTTGTATAGCTTTTTGTATATTTTCATAGTTTTTTTGTGTAGATTTAAAGCTGATAATAAAATTTATATTATCAATATAGTTAGAAGTTCTTATTATATATACATTTTTATTCTTGAATAGATTATATATATATATATATAGTAAATAAAAATAAAGTCAAATTGAAGATTTTTGCGAAACTTCTATTTCAATATTAGTTTTTTTATTTTAATACATCAAATAGAAGTTAAATACTTCTTTTATCATAAAAAACAGATGATTTATTTTATCAGAGACTTTGAAACTTTAGATTTTGAAGAGGTGAAATTATTTTATTTTTTTTTAAAATATGATTAAAAGTATTTTTATATCAATAAATGTAGTAGTAGTAGAAATTAAACTATTATTTTTATCTACTTGAATATCATATAATATTTAAAAAAAACAATTTGGAACTAATTATTTTTTAAAAAAATCATTTTCAAATAATTCAAAAGTAATATAATTTAATATCATTTAGAAATAGTAGATTTTTTATTAGATTTTGTTAAATTAATATTTATAGTGTTTTT